TGGGATTGAAAATAGATTTTGTGTCCTGTTATGATCAGCTCATCCAATGTCTATAATATGATCAAGTCAATGAAGTTGAGGTGAACTTGTTTGTAGGAGAGTTGGGTGAGTGAGGAAGCGAAATGGTGAGCACTGAGGCGAGGCAAGGTGAATTGAGTTTGTGATTCATTTCATTTCCTTGTGTGGGTTTTGCTCAAGGGAGGTCAGCAAATGTAATGCAAACGTATTGCAAACAAGATCCGTGATTGAAGAAAGTTGTGAACCCGGTCACCACAACTTTCTTCAATCGTGTTTTGAACCTTTTGATTCCTGTGGTGTGAGTAGTTCAGACAGGACCCCGGAAAGCTCCCCTTAAACCTACTGACGTGTTTGGTATGATTTGAGTGGTCAAGATTTGGTCATGTTACAGACCAAACTGGTATGAAAATGTTTTGTTGGTCTTCATCTTACAGATGTGCCCGGTATGATTTTTAAAATCTCACCTCCATACCAACATTTTTGGCACTAAATGGCAAGGTCAGCAAATGTAATGCAAACGTATTGCAAACAAGATCCGTGATTGAAGAAAGTTGTGAACCCGGTCACCACAACTGTCTTCAATCGTGTTTTGAACCTTTTGATTCCTGTGGTGTGAGTAGTTCAGACAGGACTCCGGAAAACTCCCCTTAAACCTACCGACGTGTTTGGTATGATTTGAGTGGTCAAGATTTGGTCATGTTACAGACCAAACTGGTATGAAAATGTTTTGTTAGTCTTCATCTTACAGATGTGCCCGGTATGATTTTTAAAATCTCACCTCCATACCAACATTTTTGGCGCTAAATGGCACCAAAACATAGCTTTGTAGCCCAGGGCTCAATTTTGGTACTGAAATGTTACCAACCAATTTGGTATGAAAGCTCCAAAAGTCCGGGATTTTTGGGTATGAAAATTCTCAAATTCCGGGTTTTACATCGGTTGGTTCAGGGGGAGCTTTCTGCGGTCCTGTTCAGACCCAATCTTTGAGGGACTTTTTTGCAAGAGGAAATCAACTTCCTCAGGGAAGCAGTGTACATTGTGTGCAAAGATCAATGTTCTCTATGGGTCTCACAGAATTCCTTGGCAAACAAAAGGCACAGAAGTCTTGCAAGGACATCCTTAGCCAAACTCTTGTTCCTGACCTTTGTGAGAACAAGGGGCCATTGGGAGAACCCTGACAGTACTGTCAGGTCACTGACAGTTAGGCCTTTCAGTGACCTGTCCCTTGCCCGTGAAAGCTAGCACAATTCTTTCACTCTTCCTTTCCGCCATGTCACATCCCCAATGAAAGCTTGGTGAGTACTTTCATTGATGTAAGCCACCTGTGTGACAGGCCCCGTGGTCCTTTGCCCTCATCTCAGCTTCCCCCCTTGTCTCATCCACGCCTCCACTTAATTGATCAAGATCAATCTTTCACCACCTCACCTCAACTCGATCGCAACCGTGATGCCTTCAAAAGAACCACGTTCAGATCATTTCTTTTAGATCTTGTTGTAATCCCAAATAAATTCCAAGTTTCTTTGGATCAGAATGAAATTTTTTAAATTAGAGACAGCAACGTGATTTGATGAATCCAAAGGTTTTATCTTGTGTTTTTTTGTTGTTCCGGTGTTTCTTTTGGAACAAGAATAAATCAAACATATTGATATAATAGCAATACAAAGATAGACAAGAGAACAAGAGAAGTTACAAGCATTTATGTATGAAGAATTTGTCAGAAATTGAAATCAAACGACTGTGATTCAACAAATAAGAGCTCTTAAAATGAATGGAGAAAAAAAGACCAAAAAGAGTTTACGTGATTGAATCTTTCTTACTGATGAATCTACACCCGGAATCAAAACTATTCAAAGGAATAAAGGAGATCATGAAGGTCAGTCTATGAAGAAGGCCTTAAATCCAAATTAGCAATAGTCAAGCATTGATAAGAGAACTCCAACCTACAAATGACTGTATTCATTTGATTATTACTACCAAAGATTCAATTTCTTTCAATCGAGAATTCTTGATGAGTAGCATAAGCTTGATCAATCCTATCTTGATCCCCTGAATGATGATCATCATCTGATTTGTTTTGTCGTGATTTAAATGAAGAGATTTCCGATCTAACAGAAGAAGGTATTGAAGCTCTTTGTTCTGATTGTCTTGATGAGCATTGAGTTTGTTTAAAATCTTTTTCATAGGTTGATAAGACTTCTTTACGTTGGTTGGTAAAAAGTAACTGAACGATTGAAATAGATTGAGATGGGTGAAACATTTGAATGTTTTCACTGGATCTGTCTTTTGGCTGTTGAACAGGTGCCAACAGTAGAGACAGGGGATGTGACAGATAGCCTCTCACCAGGACCCTGGAGAGCGCCGAGGGAACCAACCAATGAACGGATCATACCGGCCCCGGCCACACATTTTGTAAATTTCCCGTGAGTGAGGGCAAATTGGGACAGCTTGCCACGTCACAGGAGATTGTTCGTAATGTTTGCTATTGATTACATACACTTGCACCTATGTGGCACATGTAATTACGGAGATATCCGGTTGTAACACAAAGTCCGACCAGGTATGAATTATTCTCAAGCCTCAGGGCAAAAAAACCTTGATTGCACTTTTGTGCGGCAACCAGACACACTGTGGCTTCCAGATGTACACCAGCAGATAGCCTGTGTTTTTGTGCATCTTTTGAGCATGTCACATGTAAAGGAATGTGAGATGTGGTTTCACAGGATCTTGGTATCCGAAAACCTTGTTTCATCGGTAGGTTCCCTTGGCGCTCTCCAGGGTTCCTCTCTCACCTGTCCATATTGTGTTATCACCCATGAATTCATGGGTTGTGGGGGGCCCTGACAGTCAGTGTCAGTGTCAGAGCCTGACAGTCACGGCTCTCCCAGTGGCTGCGACCTCTGACCTTTGTCTGTGTGCAAGTCTGGGATGATTACCTTAGTGGGGCTTGGGTTGTGAGCAACAGTGTGGGACTTTGTTAAACTTAAAGGGCAATTAATGTGATTTAAAGTCACACATCAGCAATGTGACAGTTTGTCACTCACACTGGGAATAAAACAGTCTGAAAACCAATTGAAGACAGTCAATGTGACCAGGTTGGCAACTTTCTTCAATCACAGAGCTTGTTTGCCTCAGGTTTGCCCCGAGCTTCTGATTAACCTTGCATCAGCATGTCCTGCAGTCTATCTCCTTTCTCTTCTTACTCAGAGATCATTCTTGCCAACTTCAAATTTTTTCAACCAAATCCAGCAACACTAATAACATAACATAATCTTGATTCCATACCTACATACTGTGCTTTTGGATATCACTACTCCCAAGTACATAAGAGCACAATAAATATATATAATGGCATTTATTTACTGAATAAAGCTATGAGGTTGAAAGGAATTGCTGAGGATTGCTGTGCATACTGAGGCATAAAGAAAAGTGATGATCCATGGGCTGACTGATAGGGAAGGACATCTGGTACTGAGTAGTGCATGAGACTCGAGGGTAATCAGCAAACCCATGGCAAACCTGCACACACTGTGATTGAAGAAAGTTGTGGACCCGGTCACCGCGACACTCTATTCAATGGGGTTTCAGACTACCTTTTTCCCGCGGTGTCAGGTGCTTTGTGTGCAATCGGTGGCAATCGGAGAGTCTGAGATGTGGTCAGTGTATTCAGACTCGGAGTCGAGTGACCTACAAATTTCCCTCGCAGTGAACTGTGTACCCTGCTACAGTCAACCCTCGATGTAAGCATAGAGATTGGCACAGATTTTCTCTTGCTTATAAGGTGATATGCATACATCGCAAGGCACTTTAGCTGGTGGGAGCAAAAATCAGCACACAATTTTCAATGCTTAAAGCGTGATATGCATACATACTAGATGCTTACATTGAGGTTTGATGTACTCTCAGGATGTCGATGTGTTCTTCAGGATCTTGTCTTTGAACGTATTGCAATTTACGACTCACGATATCATACTGTGAAGATATAAATTGACCAAAAGACTCCCATATGAACTGGTGATGAGTGACGTTCGACTTCCTGCAGCTTCGGTCAGACTTTTCTCACCCATCGGTTCGATATTTTCACGCACAATGCTGACTTCACAAAGCTTTAAGAAGGGTCCCGACTTTTGGTTGTTTCAAAATACTTCCATATCTTCAGTTTATGTATCTCGATTTCTCCGCGTCCTAATCCTAGATCGATCTCAATAAATAATCATCAGCAACGCTTTCCAACACTGCCATCATGCGTACTTTTAGTCATCTGTTCATCCAGTTTTGGCTGGTTCTGTCTTATTGCAGCTTGACAATCAGATCACCAGGTCTAGTGTTTAATTTTGATTTGACGCCAGATATGAAGACAGCAGATTTCGATGACCAGAATTCACCTTTATCAAAGTTGATCACATACGTTGTGAAAGGTTCCACAAAACCCAAGTCAGAATACCTTTCGATATATCCGAACAGAAACTACGTAGAGATGGGTATAGAGATTCGAGATTCTTCAATATTTTGTCCCGGCGAGAATAATGATAATTGTCAACATGGATTTAGGTTAGTGATTTGCAGTTTCATGACCAGTTTTCTTTCGTATAGTATGTGATAAAACCTTTTTGGCGAATTTGCAGGCGTACGGATGTACTACCAGCCATCGATAGAAAGACTGCTCTATCAGGCACCACTGTATTCCATCAAGTAAATCTAAAGATAAGAATTTGGTCAAAAGACGATGTTTAACCAAACATGTTTGTATTTCCCAGAGCTTTCGCACAAATTCCGAACTACCATTGGATCTTGACCACGGATATCTGTTAGCTAGCATTGAAATTCCGGTCAGTGAAACCAGTATGTTCATGTATCAATGTTATTTGTTAAACTGACATCATATTATACTCTTCTCCTTTTCATATAGAGTGGTACGCCTAACACCCTCCTGATGTGAATATGATGTTCTCTTTCATCTCATGTGTTGTTGATCAAACTGGCAGGCGATCATGTGTTTGATATCTTCACCGGAGTCCAACTGGGTGGCTCATCGGAGTACAACGGAGCGATGATTCGAGTCAGAGACCTGAACACAAACGTACTTTATGCGACTCCGTTGCAAGACGGTACACTTTATAATTTTGCCATCGCTGTTGATTGGGATTCAAAGTAAGCGAAATTCTTCCGGGTTGATACCATTACAAATCCAAGTTAAGCAAAGTATCTTTGTACAGCACTTTGACCGTATATGCATCACAAGGGGATGACGAAGTCGTTCAAGTGTCACGTTCAGCTCCCAACGATCCTAAAGTCATCGCAGCTGAAAATGTTCAGAAAGGAGAATGGCATGCACAATTGATCAAGTTGTCAGTGACGTTGATTGAATTTCTCAAAGTTAAATGAACAATCTGATTGAACCACTTCTTTTGGTACAAACCTCTATCAAAGTCCCATTCCAAACGATGATGATCCTGTTGAAAAACAAAAAGATGTTCCACACTATGGATTCCAAGTTAGTCATTCAACTTTGTCTTTTGTCCTTTTGGCCTTCGCTCAATTTTCATTTTGATATTGAATTCAGGAATCAAATATTCACGAAGGAGTATTTTTTTCTCGAATGTATGTAGAAGAAGGTAATTGAGCGGAAATCGCAAGTGAAGCTCATCATAGAGATTATCATGATCTCACTAGGAACGCTGTGAACAGATCAAGACTTGCAAATTTGTAACTTTCCTTCATCTTGGGTTTATTTCGCATCTAGTAATTGTGCTTCCTGGTTCTAACATCCCTTTTATGACATGGGAAGAGTCGCGAGAGCCACTTGTATGGCATAAGGTTTGACCATGGCATAGCTGAATGACACAAGCAAGAATTAAATAAAGATGCATATCGTTCTATCTTCCATTTTCAGCGTTTTTCTTGTCTGAGTTGAAACACATAATCATATATCCACCCAGAAACGTGAGATATCGACAAAACTGGATTCTAGCCAATCCTGACAAGGTATTTAAGCCAGATGTCGTTATCTCCTTTCGAAGCCGTGAGGTGAAAACCTCAGGACGGGAAAACCAAAGGTCCCTGGTAGAGCAGGGTAGGTGTTTTAGCTCACCCACATTTGATACTTCCAAAGGAAATTGAGTCAACTACAGTTCAATCACTTGTTCTTTACGTGCCGTGTACCGAATCACCTGCTAGTCGTAGCAGGTCGTAGCTACTGGAAGGGAGACTGGTACCACCTTATCCACGTACATAACTATTTACGTATTCCATTCTGACCCCAGCGGCGATGATTCAAGATTTTGAAAAAAAACTCGTGCCCTGGATAATGGATTACCTGTGACAGAAGCATTTATGCAGCCGACACAGTCATGTTTTAAGTACTTTTTCTCACTTGAACCCCTCTGTTCTCACGAGTTTCCTCAGGCACTTGTCCTCAGGATGCCAATGCCAGTTTGCTGATTTTGGCTTTCTCATATGGAGTCGGACGTGATTTTGAAAGTCGCACTTACATATCAACGACAAAGTTGCTGTATGAACCGGTGCTGAGATATCTTGTAATTTGTACTGTCCTCGCCATATAAGATCTCGACATCAAGAAAGGATGCCCACCCAATTCCCATCATTTTAACGCATTTCATTAATTTTGAATCCCAAATCTGAGTAAATCCTGATAATCATTTGCACTAGATCACCTTCAACGCTTGCACCAAGCCATAATGGACGTTTTTAGCTGTCTGTTCATCTACTTTTGTCTGGCTCTATCATACTACAGCTCAATGATCGAAACACCAGGGATGGTGTTTGATTTTGCTTTAACACCAGACATGATAACATCACATTTTGATGATCCTAATTCAGATCTATCAAAGTTAATCAGATACGTTGTTAAAGGTTTTACGAAACCGAATACAGAATACCTTTCGATTGATCCGAAACAAAATCTTGTTGAGATGGGTATGGAGATTCGAGATTCTTCAATCTTTTGTCCTGGCGAGAATACTAAGAATTGTCAGTATGGATTTAGGTCAGTGACTTAAAAGTTTCATAATAGGCTTGCTTTTACTCAAGATCCATTAATTTTTTGGGATATGCTGCTGCAGACGTACGGATGTGCTACCATTAATTGATACGAAGACTGCTCTAGGAGGAACCACTGTTTTTCATCAAGTGAATGATGATCCAAGAATTTGAGAAATTTCACGCAATACTTGGATGAAAAATTGAATACTTTTTTGGTTGCATAGAGCTTTCGCACAAATTCAAAACTGCCTTTGAACCTCAAACATGGGTATGTGTTAGCTAGTATTGAGCTTCCAGTGAGTAAAATCGGTATATCTCAGGCGATATCGGTGTTACTTGTTAAACTTACATCGTGAACTCCATTATTCCTTGAAATTTAGAGTGGTATGCTTGACATCCCGTTGATACTATCATGATCTTTTCCTTCATCTAACTTGTTGCTGATTGACATGGCAGGCGAGCATGTATTTGACATCGTCACCGGAGTCCAATTGGAGGAGGGCCCATCGGACTACGACCCAGCGACGATTCGAGTCCATACTCTGAATAATAACGTACTTTATGCTACACCGTTGAAAGACAATACGCTCTATAATTTTGCCATTGCTGTTGATTGGGATTCAAAGTAAGCAGCATCTCTCCCAATTGATACCATTGCACAAATTCTACATCTAATCAAACTCTTGTCTTTAGCACTCTAACCGTATACGCATCACGAGACGATGCTGATTTGATCCTTGAGTCAGGTCCCATCACAAATGATCCTAAAGTGATCGGAGCAGAAAATGCTCAAAAAGGAGAATGGCATGTACAGTTGATCAAATTGTAAGTGAACTTGATAAATGTTGAAAAAAAATCGATTTAACAATTTTGTTCATAAATATCCCAATCAAAGTCCCATTCCAAATCCTGAGGATCCTCCTGAAAAACAAAAAGATACTCCGCACTATGGACAACAAGTTAGTCAATTGATTTTATTTTTTTGACCTTAGCTCTTTGACTTACTTTACCTTTTCACCTTAACTTCAGGAAACAAATATTCATGAAGGCGTGTTCTTTTCTCGAATGTTCGTTGAGGATGGTGCTGGAGGGAAAATCACACGTTCAGCGACTGCTCATAGATAGAGATTAAAATGATCCCACTACATAGTGAAAACTTTGCAGATGTGTATTTTTCTTCATCTTGGGTTTCATTCACGTATAGCCATCAATCTTTTTGGTTTTGACCTAACTTAACTAAGTCCCTATGCTTCTTGCCGCGAGCTTGTGAGCATAGGGACTTATATCTAAAGTCAAAGGCCTCTCACACTACGCAATACACCTTCCAAGATTTATCTTGATCCTTAATAAATTTTTACCTCCAGACATTTCCAAAGCAATAAAGCACTCGCTTTTGATTCCAACTGGAGGGCGTGATGGACACTGGGTTGCAAAAGACTTTTTTCTCGAAATTCAGAACTATTGGCTGAAATACTTTTACAATAACTCCGTGGGTCTTGTCCTCTTTTGATCTTTCAATAGACATGAGCTGAGAACCATTGATGACTGTAGGGACAAGGTACAAAGATTGAAAGACTCATGGAGAGATTTTCAATCATTATTCCACTTGTGAGCTCGCTTCTTTCCCTTCAATATTGGTTGCTTTTATTGGAAAAGATCAATTAAATAAAAATGTTATATAGCTGCGTAATCAGATACATCAAATGAAGATTCGGTCTGGCCTAAAGGATATTTATCAGAATAATCCACACCCAATCTCAGAACCAACAATGCGATCATTTCTACAAATGGCTCAGGTTCACCTGAGCGACCCCCAATTCTCTGAATACAAGCGAGCTGATGATGAAAACGATGAACTTGATGATATAGAGACATTAGGAATTGAAAAGCTCCGATCGATTCTGAGCATCGAAGCACGAAAAAAGCTCGCTTCTCGCTTCATCTGGGGGGCTATGAGCTCGACAACAAAGGATCAAGAAGATTCAGATCAACCTAATGAGATAGCAACTCCTTGACTCAAAGAGATCCTGATGTACTCGAAAAATGAGCAATCTCTTTATTTTTATTAGCTTGTTTTTGCAGTTTCAATCTCAATGTCTCTGCAGTCTTTTCGGCGCGGAAACGCTTTTGATCGGCTATACCTTGAGCTTTGAGGTCTCTTTCAACAGCCTTCAATCGCAATTGCTCCTCATGTTCCTCTTCAATGAGTTGTGTGTTGAGGTATTCTTGATCAATTGAAATTTGTATATCTTCTATTTCGTCTTGGTGTTGTTTGTAAGAGTCACTTCGAAGCCAAGAATTGACACTTGCTATTATTGAGTCAAAGAGTCCGGGTACCGTCTGTCCGCCAAGTATATCTCGAAGAAACATCCCGTTTGAAACTGAGGTGTAATTCTTAGCAATTTGCCAAGCGTCCTCACGGCTGAAAAGAGTTTCGGGTAGATAGGGCGGGTCAGTTGGATATGTTTTCTTGAAAAGTAATTCATAATTTCCAATGATTGAGACGGTGAGATCAATCATTGGTATATTCATTTGGATTGGGTCATCTGACTTGCATGCGAGTGGAATATTGCTAGAGAGCTTTCTTTTCCTACTCTTTCTTGGAATATTGAGTAAAGATTCGTCTTCCGGCTGAGATGGAAAAGACGACATCAAAGATTTCAGATCTGACAATTTTGTTTGTGGAAGCAGGCGAATGAGTTGAGCAGCTCCTTGAGGGTCGCAATTTGAACATCGACAAGCAGCCATTTTTAAAGATTTCTGACGCTCAATTTCCAAAAGGTAACCACTATCCGACAGAGACATGGGAATATAACCCTTTCTGTATGATTCAGATTCATCAGATTTTGAATTGTGGTTGTTTTTTGGTATTTGAGTAGCATCGGAAAAGCTTACAAACTGTCCAAGGTATAAACCACTCGCAAGCAACATGGTGTAAATCTTAGAGCATCCATACGCTCCTGATTGTTCATCTTGGGGTTGACTTCGATATCTGAAGCCGAATTTTGCCCACTAGGCATGTTTGGCTGAACAAATAAGATGACCAAGCCTTCGTCTGGACCACGCCCGGCTCGTCCAGCCATCTGATTCGAATCAGATGGGTCCATCGCGCCCATGATTACCACAATCTTCACGCGGGGCCAGTTCTGACCTAGTCCGAGAGCAGAAGTAGCAGAAATGATTGGAAATTCTGAATCACCGTAATCTTTTGCCCGTGTTGTTTTGTCGTTATCGCCAGTAACAGAATGATATCGGCGGATACATTTTGATTTTGGATTCTTGTAATCATCCGGTTGACCTCGTGCTTTTGAAACTACTTCCATTACTGTCAATGTTCTATTACGAGTACCCGAGTATATGATCATCGGAGGCAATTCGTTGTTTGAAACAGCTGACATATGAGGAATGATTGTGGTAAGGTCTTCTGATGAATCAATTGTTCCAGTCAAATAAAGTCGAATGAATCGTAGCTCAGGACGAGCAAGCTCTCCCTGTACCATTGTCATATTTGACGATGTTAAACTTAAGCTTTTCTTTATCAATGAAACGGCTTGAGGTCGACAAGTCGCCGACATCAAAAGAACCGGACTATCATCGGTGGCCATCAGTTCTGGGCCGAGTTTTCCGTAAGATGATCGAAATATACCGACGTCTTGTGGAGTCACATGAACAGAGAAGTTCTTTGAAGCCCCACTTTCTTGAAGCCCCCATAAATAAATACAGTGTGCTTCATCGACCACCTTTAAGACAAGATGAGCCTGGAACTGTTTACTGTGGTAAAGAGTTTGGAATGATTCACTATTTAAGAAAATCTCGGGGCTCTTTGTAAACCAATCAAAGATATTAGTTTCTTGTGAACAAAGAAACGAGACACCCCGTTGGACACAAGAACATACCAAATAAATGAACGAGTAGTAATTGTTTTGTAATTGCTTCAATACTGCCTTATCAAATGTATTCCTGGTGAGATTCACCGCAGTGATGCCGGAGAGTTTTTTCTCCAAAACCTAGAAATAAGAACGAGGTTCTTCAGGATGATACGGCTGACATGAATCAGGTTCCTAAACAAACTTGATTATCACCGAGCGCATCTAGCGGGTTCAATACCAAGACAACAGCCTTCTTGACCTTTGGGAACATGAGGAAGAAGAGTTCCGACACTCGACTCTTTCCAGACCCGGTTGCAGAAAGTAAGAAAGTATTTTGACCGTTTGCTAAGCTGACAGCAGCCTGTAGCTGAACGTCTGTCGGCTCGTTATTAGACCACCTGGTCAGGAATTTGTCTTTGAACATTTTCCATTGCTCAGTGACTGTAGCCGTGAGTATCTTCAGGCTGAGGGTTAGCCGCTCCAACTTCAAGCTATGGCTGGACTGGCTAAGATCATTCAAGTCTTGACCTTGCTCATCGTCTTTTGGAGCACTTCGAGTTCGCATTCTCGACAAAGACATATCGATAATCGATTGGAAGCGTTTGAGGCTTTTAGAAGCTGCTCGATGACCAATCAATTTTTTTGATGGAGTTGAGACATCGCCAAATTTGGTTTTCAAGCTGCATGGATGTCACACACGAGCGTTGAGCCAACATCCGCAGTCATTTTCGAAATTTCAGATCAGCTCTTTTTGAGCTCAATGAAGACTTTTTGTTTTGATTACAAAACTGATAGTTAGATTGATACAAAGACGCGTAAGAAGCAAAATCGAAACATCATTCAAAGAGACGAAATTCCGTAATGGGATGCGAAAAAGTTGTATTGATACAAATCTCTACCACCAAAACCCAGATGGGCTGCTCACCGAAAAACCCGACATTAGATATAACACCGCGGGAATCAACTCGTTTGAAACCGGATTGAGCTTAATTTCGGTGTCCGGGTTTGAAATTTCCTCGAATCGTGAATTGTTTTCACAACTCGTTTGCATTATGTTTGCCGATTCCCCTCGGGCTGTACTCTGTACTCGGCTGGCCCCGTGGATGTACAGTCACATCATACAGCAACATCCCCTTTCACCATTCCTCACCTACATCCTCATTCTTCAGGCCTCAATCAACCGAAAAAAAGCAGTTCAGCGGGAACATCAAGAGCGGTGAGATATGTAGTCCAACGGTTGGAATCACAGGTTTAGCAAGTAGCCCGTATGTCAGGGTACTCGAGGGAAATCGGCAAACATAATGCAAACGAGTTGTGAACGAGATTCACAATTCGAGGAAATTTCAAACCCGGACACCGAAATT